TCTAAACCTTGCAAGGTTTAGAACTTATATAGGAATAGATGCAAAGGGTACATCTTGTAAGTACAGAATGCACAAAGCTAAAGAACAGCAGCTTGTCATTTTGGTTTTCAAACGTCATTACTCTTTCTCTGTGGAGGAATTAATATATGGGAACACACTAGCTGAGCATGTAAAATTCCCAACGGTGAGATAAAGTACTCTAAAATACTGCAGGATGTTTCCTTCTAGCACCCACCAACGATTTACAGTGCAATGTTTTTAGATTACTGTCTTTGGAACTGTTCTTTCACTATGTCTTTCAAGTGAACCAGGAATCAAGCAACTGCACAAGATGTTTTGTGATTTTTCCTCTGGACATAACCTTTAGTGATGATATCCCAAGCATGCCACATTCTTTCCCAAACACAACAGCCATCTGCTATGATTTGTCTGTCCAGTTCCACAAAGCACAGTGCAAATCCCTATCAATTACCCTGAGTTGCCGCCAGAAAAGGCAACTGAACAGTTAATAACAGGCCATCCCAGGTGATATCACCCAGATGCACTAGACTACAACTCCAGAGTGCTGTAGGTAATAAGGATTATATTCCAATACATCTAAGGGGCACTGGACTGGAGAAGACTGGTCCATCCTATCTTGTGCAGCTCAATATTTATCAGTTATAAATTCTCTGTTCATCAATATCATGATGAACAGAGAACAAAGAGAGGGGCAGACTGGGAGCCTAACACCATGTTCTTGGTGAAGAGGTTCTTACTTCCCCATGCAAACTAGTCTTCCAGTTCCTGCTGCATTAAATATGTTATTGTATTCTAAATCTATGCACCACTACTAGATTTTATTCTGCTTGTTCTTATTCTATACTATAACTTTAAGCTTTTATATTGCATTCATTCATGTTGCATTAATGGTTCTAATTGCTGTGCATCACCTAGAAAGCTTGGGCAGTATAGAAAACTAGTAATAACTGATGAAGGCAATGGCCATATTCATATATTATTTTAAGACAGAAGTCCTGGCTCCTTAAACTGCAATGTGCATGCAGCTAGTTTGCTCCTGATTCACTGTTTGCACTTACAAATAAACCAGGTGTGGAAAGCTTAGTGTTACATACGAGGCCAAGATAAAGGCTTATTTCCCCCAACAAGCCATGATAATAGGCTAGCTTTAAACATGAGTTTGTGCTGGCTTATGAAACCTAGCCTGTTTAGCTTCATGGGTGACACTAGATGTTTTCCTGCTTGCGTGGGAACAAAATGAAAGAAAATCAATGGGCTATGCGCACAAGTACATAACGCATGCACATTATGGCTTGCTAAACCAGAAAATAGCCAGTATCTGATCCTTAAACTGTGTGCTAACAACCACTACCCCTTGGTACCATGAATGTAATCACTAGGAGGGATTAGAATTTCAACAGCACTTACAAGCATGTACAATGCAGGATAAAGAAACCCGGGATGTAAGCATCATGCCTGTGATGCCAACAGAGAGGCTAAAAGGCCCAATTTGTATTTGCTGACTATGGGCGTGCCCTCAGAACAAATAACATGGTAACACTCCATCAGCTTCTGTTTGCACAAGAGCATGGGAGCAAAGAAAAGGTCCAAACAGCAACACATTTGACCAGGAATTCATAACGTACCACTTTTCATTTAACAGGCTGACTACTGCTTTTCTCAGGTGGCAGGAATATTTGCATTTAAGCCTTCAATACTATGCACACTGACTGGGAGGTAAATCCTATTTTTCAGGGCAACTTGAGCAAACATACACAGGATCAGGTTGCAAAATCACTAAAGGCTTAAAACAGAACAGGAAAAGTGGATTTACATAACCAATTGCTCATTTACTATTTGTACTTTCAACATTTCCTAATAACAGAGAGAAAGAGAGGACTGAAATTGCCATTAAAACATGACTTAAAACCAAACAGGAATCTATGCCTCCAAGGAAGCCACATTTAAACTTAGAAACACACCTATGAGGATATAGAGAAAAAAATATTCCCTTGAAAGTTAAGCTGAATTCCAACAGAGCGGTTAAGCTGATGGCATGCCCAATATTAGCTGATATTTTGTCCTTCTCTGCAAGCCAGAACACGTAAATGCACATTTTAATCTTTTCAATTCATTCAGACACTTGGCCACCAAGAAAGGAGCAGTGCTACACAAGCTGAAAATCAACAAAAAACACCTCCACTCTGCAGTATGCAGTATGCATCCTGTTCTGAGCAGCAAGCCAAAAGTCAGTCTGAGACATACCAGGGATTAAATCATTCCCACTGCATGCTACCACTAACAATTCCAGCGAAGTCCTACCAGCTGGGAACAGGGCTACCCATACAGTAGGAACTCCCCCCTGTTCAAGTGCATCAAAGGTCCCATATATTGCACCCAAGGGCATCAATGGCCCAACACATTGCATCACAAGAAATGCGAGAGATTCCACTTTTAAGAACAGCCCTCTGATCAGAATAAAGGTCCATTTAGATACTATCTTGGATAGTAGCCAATGATCACTCCCCCCCGCCCCCCAGCACAAGGAGAGATACAATCACAAATGAAGGCAAAACATCTTCCCGTTATGCTCCAATAGCTGCTTTTTAGCAGCACAATCTTGGTTCCACACAGCCATCCTGACAAACTGCTCTTTCTGCAGGACCGTCCTAATTCCCTTTTAAGTTCATTTAAACCATGGCACCCATCTCGTGTCAATGAATTACATAAATGAATTACACGGAGAACTTTGTTTTTCTTAAATCTCCTTTCAGTAAGATTAGTTGAATAACAGCAAGTTTCTAGTCATGAAAGGAAGAAAAGCATCTTCCCATGGACCTTCTCTTCAGCCATGATTTTACAGATCACTTAACCTTTCAGTTTTCTTTTTTCCCCCTAAACTCGAAAGCCATTCCTCATAGTGAGGGCTATGCTCTTGCCCACTCTACTAAACAGGACAGTAAAGTCCACAGAGGCTGCTTCGCCATGCAGGTTTTATCCATCATATTTTCCAGTTTAAAGGATGTGCTCCATCTTCAGAAGGTGTCTTATTCACGTTCACTGGTCTGTAACGGAGACTTCAGTTTTGATACCCTCAGTTGCTTGCTTGCTCTCTCTCTCTCTCTCTCCAAGTTACAACAGACAACTTTCCAAGCCACTTCTACCAAATTTCACACAAGGAAGGGGCCCAAGCAATAGAATTTCTCTGTCACTCTAAGACAAACTGCAGTCAATGCACATTCAATGCACACGGGGGCATTTTCAGAGGCCGTTCTTTTGGAAAACCACATCACATTTCCAGTCCGCTCAATGTCTCGAATGCACATTTGATTCACCCACAAACACTGACTGGATGCCCACCAGTCAGCATTCAGCCTCCTCGTGTAACCTACAACCACAGCACACTTCCTCGCTTTGTGACAACTTTCCTGCCCGCCTGGGCTCCAGCTTTGAAAGCCGGGTCCGAATGTCCAAAGTCGCGTCCAGAAGCCGCCGGGACCTCCCAAGCCTGCAGGCTGCGAGACTACGGACCAGCCGGGAGGAGGAGGAGGAGGAGAAGGAGGTCCACGGGAGCCGCCGCGCTCGGCACTTGCCTGCCGGCCGGCGCCACACAGGGATGGCTCCGACCCGGGGGACCAGGCGGACGCCGACCCCCTGCGAGGCCGAGACCCCTTCCGAGGGGCAGGACTCGGCGACCGCGTTCGAGCCCCCACTCGGGCCCCGAGCCCCCGAGGCGCCGCCCGCGCTGCCCCGCAGGGCCGCTGTGCCGAGCAGAGGGGCGCCGCACGCCGAACCGGGCTCCTTGCGAGGAGGGGCCGAGGCGCGCTCGCCCCCCGCGCGCGCCCCCCGGGCCCCCCGCCGCCGCCTGGGGCACGGGGAGCGCCCCGCGGGCTGC